CCACAGGATGGGGGACACGACGGGCACAAGCGCGCATTCCAAAAAGTCGGGCGAATGACGGGCCCAACCTCGCGACGCCGTCCGAGGGTGCATCACTCATCCCACAAGTCTCCGCCCTCGCATACGGTAAGCAGCGCGTGCATGGCCGAGGCTACCTGCGCCACCGCTCAATGGCGCCGCTCGGATGGCGAAGAGCGCAGAGTGTCCTCACCAAGTCGTGACACCCCCTCAACACAAACGGAACGCGCTGTTGTGAGTGCGGACACGAAGATGACACCACAACAGAGCCGCAACAGCTCTCCCCGTAACCTACAGGATGATGGTGCCGAAGCTGAGAGCCGGTGACGGGCACCTCCGCCTCCACACCCTGCAAACGACCGCCAACCGGACCGCCGTTGGCGATCAGGCGCCAATCATCGCAAGACGATGAGTGAGGGTGAACGCAACGATCCACGGCATAGGAAAGCCCCGACAGCCGTGACCGCCGCCAACGACGACCGAGCTGTCGTGAAAKAAGCCCTCCGAGAGAGACGACCATGGACCCGAACGGTGCCGCAAAAATGTTCGCTCGACCACCAAAGCACGACTCGCCCATCCCTCGCAAACTGGAAACCACCCAAAGCGTGTGCAGAGAGTCCCTCGTTACTCGAGTACAAGGTCGCAAAACCCACACCCGGAACGTCGCCTTCGTCGACTGCAAGGGGGCTGCTAAGCACGCAGTCCCCTATAAGAGTGCAAACGGGACTCCGAACCGCCAACCACCGACTGTTTGGCACATCCGGAGGGTGCTCACTGAGCCATCCGCCGAGGGACCTGCACATGTCCCTTTCCAGCAAGCTGACTGGACAGACCCCAATGCCGATGTCCCCCTCGGGACCTCATCCCTTTCCGCTCTCAATAAGATGCCTCTGGACCTTCGATCCTGGGAGACCCCCTTTTCTCGGGGCCGTTCCTACGACCGAGTGGCAGTGTGCGGTATCTGCTGGCCCCACAAAATTCGACACCTCAAAAGTCCGTCCCATCTCCGTCCCTTCCACACACAACGAGATAAGGGGAGGGGCCGGGGGAAAAAAATAAATACATTAAAAAAAAAAAAAGGGACGAAACAAACAGAGAAAAGGCCAAGCAGCTTCTGTGCCTAGCGACTCAGATCACGCCACGGTGTGGGAGTGAAAAGTTTACGGGAAGTCTGGCAGAATCGTGCGTCTGTTGTGGGGTTGTGTTGGCGAACATGACCGGACACGCACTCCAGAAAGAGAAGGGGGGAAAGAAAAGTCAAGGATGACTTGGCAAAATTGTCGTTTCAATTTGTGTCGGCCCCGAAAAAAACTGCATCCGGCAGAAGTGGCGAGGCCGAAAACCCGACGGCCATAAGCATTTCCGTGCATGTCCCGGAGAACACCATGGAGCCAATCAGGTACTGCCTCCAGTGAAGCAGGCCGCCATGATCACGTGCACGAGCGGGAAGGGCCGGATAGGGCAGGAAGTGGGCCGTTTGCCCCCGCCATGAACATCATTGCTCACACGCATCGGGGCGGGCGGGGGGGGCCCACAAAGGGCAGGAAGTGGCCTCTCTGTTCCCAAAGCTGGGGGGCGTGCGGCCCCACCAAGGTCATGACTACGCAGTCGCGTGGGGAGGGCCACGTAGGGCAAGAAGTGGGTATTTTGTTCCCAAGCCATAATATTACGAACACACATGGGGAGGGCCAGATAGGGTGAGAATTGGCTTTCCAAGTCCGAAACACCAGGGGCATGCTTCGCGCAACCCCCACCACGATTACGCTTGTACGCAGGGGGGGCCAGACACCCTCCGTCTCTGCCCCTCTACTAAAAATCTTCCGTTAAATTGATTGAATACTTGCTTGAGCAAACTTTTATCTACGGAATGAGAAGATTCAGAATTTTGTTTTCATCATGAAAGAAAGGTGAATCCAATAGGGAAAAAAAATAAAAATAAAAAAAAATTCATATACATAATATTATAGACGTATGTACATAGTACACGTTTGCATTTTGTTTGAATACTTGAAGAATAGCTTTTTTTTTTTTTTACTGAAACAAAGCTCGCCCACCACATCGTGAGTAAGTGTACAATGTGGCACTCACGTCGATCCGGCCTTTGGTCCCAGGTCTCCGTGCAGCCAAAAGTGGCAGGCCGTATGGGGCGACATCGTACAATGTGGCATGCACAAACGCCCACCGGGTCAAGTACAGGAAGACACGCGGACACATGTCCATGCTTTCGGACAGATGGCGTGCCGCAGTGGCCAGAAGCTTACAACGTGGCACCCACCCCAACATGGGCTCGGGCACAGTTCTCCTTTGAGCCGAAAGTCGAGTACCACATCGGGCAAAAGGGGCTTCAGAC